CTTGGTGGAATATCACAGCATCACAGCTTGCAGCAATGTCCAACTCTTGGGCTCAAGCAATTCTCTTGCCTCAGCTTCCCAAGTAGCTGGGACTACAGGCACCCGCCACAATACCCGGCTATTTTTAACTACGGGGTCTTGCTCTTGCTCAGGCTGGTCTCGAACCTGTGAGCTCAGGCAATTCGCCTGCCTCAGCTTCTCAGAGTGCTAGGATTACAGGTGTAACATTTCCTTGATTAAAAAGAGGAGGGATGAGGCACACAATTACTTTTTAAGTAATTCAGTACTTGTCTACAGCCTCCCACATATGGTCAATGCTTTGAAATAAGTTATTCTTAAATAAATATTCTGAAGGACTCTATTTTGGTCAGCAGAATTTCATTCTCTCTCCTAAATATATATTTGGAATTTCGTCAGATAAAATAAATATTTATTAGATATTGTAAGAGGGAAACTAAATAGCTCCTGCCAAACCCAAAGCATAATCAAAATTTTGAGTTTTTAATTATAGTTATTTTTAGGGAATCTGCTTTTTCTAAAATTTTTGCAGAAAGGTCATAGTTTCTAATAGTCTGCCCAAGAGGGGTGGGGAGGAAGCACAGGTGGGGAGAATAATCAGCTGTAGATGGATGTTGACTAGAAAGAGGAATGCCTCATCACTTCCATAGTTCTGTTACTAAGAAATTGATAACTAGGGACGGCTGACTGTCACTGGTAATGCTTTCTGTTCCCTTTTAGGATCTCTCTGGCATCTCCTCTGGTGTGACGTGAGGAACTAGAACCCAGTTTGAGCAACAGAATAATGGAGACTGTCTTTGGTTTTAGAGTCCTTGGAAAGGAAAGTGAGTCTTTGGCTCTAGCTAGCAATGGTCTAGGAAATTAGTTAAGCCCACAAAGTTTCCCTAAGTGGATGATAAACCCTGAGGACGGCCCCCATTTAGGAGGTTACAACATGACTGAGCCTTTCACACATGGTCTTGTTCCAAGCCTGTGTGTGTAGAAAGAATAAGGGCAATAGCTTGTCATCACAGAGCATGGTATTCCAAGGAGCCCAAAGGTACCCCCCTGAGAAAGTAAGAGAACGTCACACACACCCCTCAATTGCAATCTTGGCTCTAAACTTAAAGGGAACATCGGCCTACACTCTGGTGCCAGTCTAAAGTTCATTATTTCTAGACCTCAACAAGTACAGAAAGTGAGAATAGCATTTAGAAACAATTTGACCATGGAATATTATTCAGTCATTAAAAAAAGATGGAGACTTTCCATCTTTTACACTTATCTGGATGGAGATGAAATATATTCTTCTTAGTAAAGTATTGCAAGAATGGAAAAAATAAATATCCAATGTACTACATACTAATATGAAATCAATATATAAATAATTACATGCTCATAAGAGCAATAAAATGCTAAGATAGTCCAATTTGGGGGTAGAGGGAAGCAGGAGGGGTGAGGACATTTGGCAGGAGGAGGGAGGGCATGAGGCGGGATCTCACCTAATGTGCACATTGTGAGGGTGTATAACATGCCCCCCGGGTGAGGCTTCTTCTGCAAATGGAACTTTACACTGGAAGTGAGAAAAATATAACCTAAAAATTGTATCCTCATATTAATTTGAAAAAAAATATTTAAAAAGGAAGGAAGGAAGGGAAAGAAAAAAAGAAAGAGAGAGAGAGGAAGGGAGGGAGGGAGGAGAAAAAGAGAAAGAAAGAAAAAGAAAAAAATCTTGTGAAAATAAATGCATGTATTTTTATAATTTGTAATCACTTTAATTTTTGTTCAAACCTATTGTTTAATTTATAGCTAATTATTATTTGTTAAATTAAGGAAGTAATCTTAATTACTTTTAATCATAACATACTAAAGTTAAAATAATCATCACTGAAATAGGGTAGAGGAGGGAGGTTAAAAAAATCTACCTTTTCTGAAAACAGCAGTAGTAGTAAAACAAATAATAATCATACCAAGACAACAAAGACTAAAAAACTTAGTACTAGTTTTACTCCAAAACATAATCCCTGCATGGGTTATTTTGTGACAACATTAATGGAGAAATGCTAAGATCATAGTATCCTAATTTGCAGGAGATATACTGTCTAGTAAAGAAATGAAACCAGCAAAGCTTAAGCAATGTTTATTAATACATATGAAATATTGTTAAAATTCAAAATCAATAAATTATGTTTCAATATAGTCAATAAAATGTAATCCTAATCACTATAAAAATAAAAACCTATCAATAAAATAAGAGTTAGCCCAGATGACAGAATGGGTATATATATCTGTCCGAGGACAGATCATTCCTATGTTGTATAACTTTCCAGAGCACAGAGAAAGATGGAAAACTTCCCAGCTATATGCAAAAGTTTAGTATAATCTACTACACAAATTACATAAAAGGTAATAAGGACATTTATGCAAATGTGCTGAGAAAGATTTGGAAGTATACATTCCAACTGGAGGTCAATCTCCCTTATGAAAATAAATGAAAAATCTTAAGCAAAGTATAAGAAAATCTAAGCCAATATTTCATGAAAACAACCACCAAATAAAATGTTCTTAGAAGTATAAGGAGAGTTAAACATCAGAAAATCTACTACTAAAACTCTACAAATTTAAAAGATTAAAGGAGAAACAAACAAAAGATTATCTAAATTATATGGCTAAAAATTAATTTAGGAAAAGATATTTTCTAAGTTTCAAGAAGCAAAGATACATACTTAAACCGCACTATCATGTGAGATTAAATAATTACATTAATGAAATAAAATAGTTTCAGAGATAACCACTATAACATGGAAATCTAATAAACAAAATGCTATATTCCACAAATATGAAAAGGACAAAATTTATAAGCAAAATCATGTTGGGATCATTTGCTACCAATTGAGGAAAAAATGAACTCTTAACTCCTATTGTACCACCAAGTAAATGCTACATGATTTTTTAAAATCCCTTAATATGAAAAGCAAAACAATAAAAATGTGAGAAAAGCACATGGGAAATCATTATAGATGCCATGAAGTAAAGAACACAAATCACAAAAAATTAAACATTTTATGATAAGTAATATCATCAATAAACTAAAATACACGTAACAAGTTGAAAAAATGATTGTAACATACACAAAGGACAAAAGATAAAGATGCATAAAATGTAGCAGAAATTACAAGTCAGTAAAAAGCAGACAAATAGGTCAATAAAATGTAAATGCAGGAGATGAACAGGCATAAAGCTTAAACGCATAGAAATTTGGCCCACTTCACTATTAACCTGTGAGTGATTTTCTCACCAATCAAATTAGCAAACTTACACGTTGAGAATCTCGTAAGGGTGTCGGGGGGAAAGGCATTTCACGGTTTGCTGATAGGAGTGCAATTTGGAAAACCTCAACTGTCTTTAGAAGGTAATTTGACAATATTGATCTAACTACGTATAATAACTATTTTCTTGATCAATTGTATTCTTAGAAAAATCTCCTACAAAAATACTCTCACATAATTATACAAACCTGAAACTACCTAACTGTGCATCAATTAGTTGACCTACCTTAAATAACATGAATGGTATAACTATTCTACAGAATGATATACGATCATCACAGACGATAAAATAGGTTTTGACCAACTGCTTTTAGGTGCTTTGCAAGACACATTGTTATGTTCAAATCACAAAATCAAGTTTCAGAACACAAGTACAGCATAATTCTTTTCACAGAAAAAAAAAAAAGACTTAAGTAAATACATGAAAAAAGGTCTAGAAAGTTGTACTCCAAATTCTTCTCCAAGGAGAGAGAAGACGGAGGAGGGAGGGTGGGTGAAGGAAATCTCTACTTTTTATAGAGTCTGCCTAGTTTAAATAGTTTTTCAAAAGGACATATTTTGGATTATTTGCATAACAAAGTTCTTGAACATGTAAAGTCTATCAGGCACAACTTATCAAATGTGTATGACTATTAAAAGGAAAAAAACAGCATTACATACACAGCCACGCCTTGACCCTGTCATGTATTCACTAGCAGAGTTAGGATACTGGAACGCACTAATTGAAAAAGAGAAAATAATTATAGTAGAATCTTCGGTTTAATTTATCATTATTTTTGCTCTTTTCTTTGTGACTTCTATAAACTGTTTCCCAATTAGCTTTTTACGGAGTCAAGAGCTCAAGTGACTTGCCCACTATCCATGGCTAATAAAGGGCAAAATCAGCTCCAGACCCTAGCTTTTCCAAATCCTAATCCACCCAGCCCACCACCACTGTTTCAACTTTGTTTTTTGTACTTGAAACATTGTGGATACAGAATATGTGATAAGAGAGGAGTGACACACAAAGTTTCCTGGCACTTCCTCTCAACTACATTCACCATATGAGAGATTTTAGCCCCGTGGCACAGACACAAGGCCCATCAGTAAAGGGAGCCGAGGCCCGACACAGACTCAGAAAATTGAGTCCAGTGGATTTATTTTTAAGAAGGAATAGAAACCTAAGAGATGTTTTCTGTGTTCACTCAGGAAGTGTCATCGATCACGGCAAAAGGCTGTTCTCTTCCCATTTCCTTATCCTGTCTCACTGATAGAAGATTTCACGGAGCAAGGGAAATTTCAGCAAAAACTAAGGGATGAGGGGGTGCTCACTTGAAAATAGGGAAGAAAGGAAAACCCAAGTATAAAAAACTACAATGGAAGGAAGAAAAAAAGCAAAACTAGTGAGATGAAATAAGTGTTTTAAGGCCAGGATCATAATCTCTATTTTATAATTGGTGATTAGTCCATGTGTTTGAGTCTGAATCTGTTGTCTAACTCTTCATTTTGTTTTTTGTTTTGTTTTTTTTTTTTTTTTGGATAGCTAACAAATTTTCTTTACTTGTTTTTGTATCCACATGATTATAAAAAAGAAAACAGGGCTTATGGCTACTTTGGTACCAACACAGTGTTCAAACCGAAGGATTGTATCCTTTCAACAGGTTTTGTCCCAGAATATTGAACCCGTTGGCCATAAAGGATATGGAACACTTCACAAATTTCCATGTCATCTTCAGGCAGGGGCCATGCTATCCTCTGTATCTTTCCAATTTGAGTATATGTGCCTCCAGAGTGAGCACTCTTCATTTCCTTTATTTTTTTCTAACCCGTTTTATATTTTTTTACTTTTTATTGCCTTCTTTTGAGTTAATTAAATATTTTATTTTCCCCATTATTAGCTTTTTGGTTATATATTCTTTTACTCTTTAAAATTGATTTTCTTACAGATTATATACTACATGCCCTAGACTTACAGCAATAGTATAAATTAGCATTTTACCCATTCCAAATAATGGGTCTTTAAACACTCTTAAAAGATAGTTTCTGTTTCACTTTTCAGTCTCTCTGCCCAGGCCCCTTATAAATCAGTGCATACATCAAGGGAAAAAATGGTGCCTAGAGTACCAAGCTTACCCCAATATGTCTCCCTCTTTACATAGTCTTAGGACCCACAAATACTTGTTGCTTGGTAGTTCTTGGTGCCTTAAAATGTATTTTTTTAGGCTCGCCACCTGTGGCTTAAGTGGCTAAGGTGCCAGCCACATACACCTAAGGTGGTGGGTTCAAATCCAGCCCGGGCCTGCCAAATAACAATGATGGCTGCAACCAAAAAATAGCCAG